AGCCGAGTGAAGAGGAAGGATTCATTTGGGGTCTGAGGAGGTACATCAAGGGGACTTCAAAGGGAATATGCAGGCACCATCAAGTCAAAGGTCACAATTCAAGGAACCCCTAGCCACCTCTGGAGGAACCCTAGGGTTCTACAGAACCCTGGCTAAGAATGGCTGTTCTATCAGGTTTTTATTGCTGTCTGTGTCCCCGATGGGGAGGCTGTTTCTCTCTCTTTGCCCTGGTCACCATTATCTCTGAGACAGAAAATAATGGAAGGTCCAAATTTTTTTTTCTGTTTCCTCACAGGAGATGATGGCTAATCTTTGTAAGAAGACAAATGTTCATGCTTTCTAACTGTCCAAGATGGGATATCACCTCACTTTCCAGAGATCTCTTCTTATTTCGTGCTGTGTCTAAGATGGACTAAGAGGAGACTGGAGTGTGGAGCCTGGGAGGGGGTCCAAGGGAGGGCAGCCTACCTACAGGCTGGAGATGGGAAAGAAGGATCTCCACTACCCAAAGTCTTATAGGGAGGACTTCCTGTGCAGCAGGGAAGGAGCCAGCCAAATGTAAGGCCTGAAAGCAGCTACCAACCCATCAAGCTAATACGACAGGACAGTGTGAGAAGTTCTACACCCCCTGGGTCAGACAAAGGGAGAGGGCGGTCAGGTGCAAGACCCCACTAGTTCTCATCTGGGAATACTTGTCATATCTTGGATTCCCTTGTCCAGGGATACCCTCAGTGCAGTTGAGTGAAGAGGAAGGATTCATTTGGGGTCTGAGGAGGTACATCAAGGGGAATATGCAGGCACCATCAAATCAAAGGTCACAATTCGAGGAACCCCTAGCCACCTCTGGAGGAACCCTAGGGTTCTACAGAACCCTGGCTAAGAATGGCTGTTCTATCAGGTTTTTATTGCTGTCTGTGTCCCTGATGGGGAGGCGGGTCCTCTCTCTTTTCCCTGGTCACCATTGTCTCTGAGACAGAAAATAATGGCAGGTCCAAATTTTTTTTTCTGTTTCCTCACAGGAGATGACGGCTAATCTTTCTAAGAAGACAAATGTTCATGCTTTCTAACTGTCCAAGATGGGATATCACCTCACTTTCCAGAGATCTCTTCTTATTTCCTGCTGTGTCTAAGATGGACTAAGAGGAGGCTGGAGCGTGGAGCCTGGGAGGGGGTCCCAGGGAGGGCAGTCTACCTACAGGCTGGAGACGGGAAAGAAGGATCTCCACTACCCAAAGTCTTATAGGGAGGACTTCCTGTGCAGCAGGGAAGGAGCCAGACCAACGTAAGGCCTGAAAGCAGCTACCAACCCATCAAGCTAACACGACAGGACAGTGTGAGTAGTTCTACACCCCCTGGGTCAGACAAAGGGAGAGGGCGGTCAGGTGCAAGACCCAACTAGTTCTCATCTGGGAGTACTTGTCAGATCTTGGATTCCCTTGTCCAGGGATACCCTCAGTGCAGCCGAGAGAAGAGGAAGGATTCATTTGGGGTCTGAGGAGGTACATCAAGGGGAATATGCAGGCACCATCAAATCAAAGGTCACAATTCAAGGAACCCCCTAGCCACCTCTGGAGGAACCCTAGAGTTCTACAGAATCCTGGCTAAGAATGGCTGTTCTATCAGGTTTTTATTGCTGTTTATGTCCCCGATGGGGAGGCGGGTCCTCTCTCTTTGCCCTGGTCACCATTGTCTCTGAGACATAAAATGATGGCAAGTCCAAATTTTTCATTCTGTTTCCTCACAGGAGATGACGGCTAATCTTTCTAAGAAGACAAATGTTCATGCTTTCTAACTGTCCAAGATGGGATATCACCTCACTTTCCAGAGATCTCTTCTTATTTCCTGCTGCTGCGTCTACAGGACAGGAAAAGAAGGGAAGTCTCCTCGACGCAACAAAATAAAAAAAAGCCCATTCAAGTTATGACTACAATAAAAAGTTTCAACTTTCCGTACACTGTAATGCAATAAGCGGCTGTATGTGTTGTTAACTATCTAAACAGGGCGAATTATTGAAGCTCAAATTACATCCAAGCGTGTCACGCTCCACTAATAAAATAATGTGAAATATGCAAAAAAAAAGGTATATAATTAAGTAAATCAAACAATAAATATAATTTTAAATATTTTTAAATAACATGAGTGAGTCCAACTTTAGTTTGCAGTCCTGCTAAAGCTGCATGCTTGTTTCAAACCAACCGTGACTTATAGTGTGTTTGCCACTAGTGAAAAATATATACAGGTGAAACTCGATAAATGAGAATATGGTGCAAAAGTTCATTTATTTCAGTGCAGCAACTTAAAAGGTGAATCTAATATATGAGACTCATTACATGCAAAGCAAGATAGTTCAAGCCGTGATTTGTCGTCATTGTGATGATTATGGCTTACAGCTCATGAAAACCCCAAATCCACAATCTCAGAAAATGAGAATATTCCATGCAATCAATAAAACACGGATTGTACATAGAACAATATCGGACCTCTGAAAAGTAGAAGCTGCATATGTACTCAGGACTTGGTTGGGGCCCCTTTTGCAGCAATTACTGCCTCAATGCGGCGTGGCATGGAAGCTATCAGCCTGTGGCACTGCTGAGGTGTTATGGAAGACCAGGATGCTTCAATAGCGGCCTTCAGCTCTTCTGCATTGTTCGGTCTCATGTCTCTCATCTTTCTCTTGGCAATGCCCCATAGATTCTCTATGGGCTTCAGGTCAGGCGAGTTTGCTGGCCAATCAAGCACAGTAATCCCACGGTCGTTGAACCAGGTTTTGGTGCTTTTGGCAGTGTGGGCGGAGCCAAGTCCTGCTGGAAAATGAAGTCAGCATCCCCATAAAGCTCATCTGTGGAAGGAAGCATGAAGTGCTCCAAAATCTCCTGGTAGACGGCTGTGGTGACCCTGGACTTCATGAAGCACAGAGGACCAACACCAGCAGATGACATGGCTCCCCAAATCAACAGACTGTGGAAACCTCACACTGGACTTCAAGCATCTTGCAGTGTGTGCCTCTCCATTCTTCCTCCATACTCGGGGCCCTTGGGCCTCTCCATTCTTCCTCCATACTCGGGGTCCTTGGGCCTCTCCATTCTTCCTCCATACTCGGGTCCTTGGGCCTCTCCATTCTTCCTCCATACTCGGGGTCCTTGTGCCTCTCCATTCTTCCTCCATACTCGGGGTCCTTGGGCCTCTCCATTCTTCCTCCATACTCGGGGTCCTTGGGCCTCTCCATTCTTCCTCCATACTCGGGGTCCTTGGGCCTCTCCATTCTTCCTCCATACTCGGGGTCCTTGGGCTTCTCCATTCTTCCTCCATACTCTGGGTCCTTGGTTTCCAAATGAGATGCAAAAGTTGCTCTCATCAGAAAAGAGGACTTTGGACCACTGAGCACCAGACCAGGTCTGTTTTTCTTTAGCCCAGGTAAGACAGTTCTGACGTTTGCTGTTCAGGAGCGGCTTGACAAGAGGAATACGACATTTGAAGCCCATGTCCAGGATCCGTCTGTGTGTGGTGGCTCTTGATGCACTGACTCCAGCCTCAGTCCACTCCTTGTGAAAGTCCCCAACACTTTTGAATGGCCTTTTCCTTTACAATCCTCTCCAGGCTGCGGTCATCCCTGCTGCTTGCGCACCTTTTTCTTCCACAATTTTCCCTTCCACATAACTTTCTATTAATGTGCTTTGATACAGCACTTTGGGAACATCCAACTTCTTTTGCAATTCCCTTTTGAGGCTTTCCCTCCTTATGGAGGGTGTCAGTGATGGTGTCAGGTCAGCAGTCTTTCCCATGATTGTGATTCCTACTGAACCAGACTGAGAGACCATTTAAAGGCTCAGGAACCCTTTGCAGGTGTTATGGCTGAATGAGCTGATTAGAGTGGGACACTTTGAGCCGAGAATATTCCACCTTTTCACAATATTCTCATTTTCTGAGATTGTGGATTTGGGGTTTTCATGAGCTGTAAGCCATAATCATCACAATGATGACAAATCACGGCTTGAACTATCTTGCTTTGCATGGAATGAGTCTCATATATTAGTTTCACCTTTTAAGTTGCATTAGTGAAATAAATGAACTTTTGCACCATATTCTCATTTTTTGAGTTTCACCTGTAGATAAAAAAATATATATACACAAAAAATAAAAATGATATAAAAAAAAATATAAAAATATATAAAATTTTGTAGAAAAGTCCACAAAATCTTTATCTTGAGTGCTCCTTCACCAGTGTGCGCTCACCTGACTTATATGAACAAACCATTAAGTGAGGTCAAAAACAGCTTGTGTCCCTTTAATTGGACTTGGAGAGGAGTGGATATCTGTATCCCTGTCCCAGATGGATGGATGGATGAGTGGAGTATTTCCCTTTTTCCAGCAGGGGGTCTCACTGTTTCCTAGAGATCTATTTCCTGAAGTCGGATGGATGGATGGATGGATGGAGTTATCCCTCTTCCCTCTAGGGGGTCTCTTCTTCAAAAGGTATTTATTCAGCCAAAATATAGGGCACTCACATGATATAAATAATAAGCTCGCTTTTGTATGCGATATTGTATGATCCTCTATATGTTTGCCACACTCCAAATACTTGCTGTGTATTTTCCTTTAAGCGTCATGACATCAGAGCCCCTCCCCTTAATTTTGATTATAGCGACACACTAGTATGAGTATGTGTATGGTGTAGGCGACCCACTCACTTATTTATTTAATCAGTAAGTATACACAGAAGCACATTCATTTTGCACATAATATATATAGTTTTTTTAACTTGAATATATTATTATTATTATATTATTATACAGTATTTATAAAGCGCCAATAGTTGGCTCAGCGCTGTACATTACAAAGGGAGACAGAACATGTGACAGAACAATACCAATACAATGCGATACACGAGGGGTTCGAGGGCCCTGCTCCTTGGAGCTTACAATCTAGGAGGGAGGGGATGGTGGCACAGGAGGAGATAGCTGTGGGGGATGGAGTGGTAGGAAGAGTCGAGGAGGTCGGCAATTAGCAGGGGGTGGGGTAGGCTTCCCTGAAGAGATGGGTTTTCAGGGTGCGCCTAAATGAGAGGAGAGTAGGTGATAGTCTGATGGATTGGGGTAGGGAGTTCCAGAGGATAGGTGACACCCTGGAGAAATCCTGGAGGCGGGCATGGGAGGAGGAGACCAGGGAACTAGAGAGAAGGAGGTCTTGTGAGGAGCGGAGTGTGCGTGTTGGGCGGTACTTGGATATTAGGTCGGTGATGTAGTTCGGGGCAGTATGGTGGACGGCTTTGTACGTCAGTGATAGGATTTTGAATTTGATATGTTGTGCAATCAGAAGCCAGTGGAGGGATTGGCAGAGGGGGGTGGAGGACACTGAGTGGAGGCCAGTGGAGGGATTGGCAGAGGTTGGTGGAGGACACTGAGTGGAGGCCAGTGGAGGGATTGGCAGAGGGGGGTGGAGGACATTGAGTGGAAGCCAGTGGAGGGATTGGCAGAGAGGGGTGGAGGACACTGAGTGGAGGCCAGTGGAGGGATTGGCAGAGGGGGGTGGAGGACACTGAGTGGTGGCTAGTGGAGGGATTGGCAGAGAGGGATGGAGGACACTGAGTGGAGGCCAGTGGAGGGATTGGCAGAGGGGGGTGGAGGACACTGAGTGGAGGCCAATGGAGGGATTGACAGAGGGGGGTGGAGGACATTGAGTGGAGGCCAGTGGAGGGATTGGCAGAGGGGGGTGGAGGACACTGAGTGGAGGCCAGTGGAGGGATTGGCAGAGGGGGGTGGTGGAAACGGAGCGGTTGGTAAGGTGGATGAGTCTGGCTGCTGTATTCAGGATGGATTGAAGCAGGGATAGCCAGCGGCGAGGCAGGCCAGTGAGGAGGGAGTTGCAGTAGTCGAGTCGTGATATGATGAGGGGGTAGATGAGCTGTTTAGTGGTTTCTGGGGTTAGGAACGTGCGGATTTTGGCGATGTTACGGAGGTGGAGTCTGCATGAGTTTGTTAGTGATTGGACTTGGGGCTAAAAAATATAATAAAACATTATATATAATAAAAATTATATTTTTTTGATTCACTATATGAAGACATATATGCACTAAATACACCATAGTAGCTCACAAGTATCACGTTTTTATATGAACTATTGAAGCTGTTATAAAATATTTCAGAAGGCATTGGTAGGGTTTGACGTCCTCATGGGCATTGCAACACATACCCGCAGTTTTCTATCCTGAAATTTTTGCTTTACATCTGCAAAATATCACAACAGAACAAAACAAAAAGTGCCATAGAGAGAAAATGAAGCTGTATATAGTGATGTATTGATGATTTTTTTTTTTTTATAGTCAGGGTGTAAGCGCCATCGTTTATTTCTCATCCAGATTTAGGGTGCGTTGTGTGTTTTTTACGAGGAAGAAAGTCGTCAACGATAATCAAGGCCAATTCCACTGTGCAGATTCCGTTGTCGATACAAATAGGCTTGTTTATTCCACCATCTCCTCCTCTAGGGGGCGCTCTGGTTTTGTCATCAGCATGTCCAGTTCTGGGCTTTGTGGACCTTTTTGTTGGTCTAGGACTATCCTGGTGGGTCAGAATCTGAGACATAAACAGAAACAGAGAGAGTGGTCAGAGTTGGAGATGACCCCAGATCTGCACAAGCACATGTCATTGTAGCAGGGGCGGACTGACCATTTGGAAACTCGGGCACTGCCCGAGGGCCCGGGGTCAGTAGGGGGCCCCATGAGATGCCCCTGTTACCTTCTTCATAGGCTTTTTTGAGTTTGGGCAAGGACACAGGGGCCCCATGAGTTGTCAGTCCGCCCCTGCATTGTAATGCCCTCTAGCACTAGATAGGATTTTGTTGTTAGTTAGAGACTGGGTAGCAGCCTGGGATGAGTCAGCCTGGGAGTTAGGTAGAGTGAGTTCACCTCAGGACAGGCTGGGAGGCTGTACAGGTCAGGGGTTCTGTAGCCCTCCCACCCTTCAAGAAACTCAAAGAACTTTCTGGATGAGGGGTGGAGGAGGGGAGGAGGCCAAGACCTGCATGCTCTGGGGAACTTGGCCAATCACCAAGCAGGAGACTGGGCATGGTGGCTAAGGTTAACCCTTAAATGTGGCAGAGCCTATGCGGCAGGGGAGTTGTTGCTGAATTCGGGTGGAAGATGGACTAGGAGAAGGCTGGAGGGGGTCCCAGGGAAGGGAGCCTACCTACAGGCTGGAGGTGGGAAAGAAGGATCTCCACTGCCCAAAGTCTCCTAGAGAGGACATCCTGTGCAGCAGGGAAGGAGCCAGCCCAACGTAAGGCCTGAAAGCAGCTACCAACCCATCAAGGTAACACGACAGGACAGTATGAGTACTTCTATACCTCCTGGGTCAAGGGGAGAGAGTGGTCAGGTGCAAGACCTAACCAGTTCTCATCTGGGACAAATTGTCAGGGATACCCTCAGTGCAGCCGAGTGAAGAGGAAGGATTAATTTGGGGTCTGAGGAGGTACATCAAGGGGACTTCAGCGCTTCTTAAAAAGACAGTGCTATTCTCTTTCTTTGTACAGTTTGCTGAGAAGTTTGTCCTCAAGTTTGCAGTTCCTTAGGCATCCCATATACCCCTAGACCCCATCCAAATTGTTAACCCCTAATAAAAACAACTAAAAACCAGCTCAAGGACTGTCTTACTGACTCTGTGTGCAAGTTGTGAAAAAATGTGTGCTGCCTGGCTGTGCAGAGCCTAAGGGGACCCAACTAAAATCCAGTGACTCCTGCGGGGGTAGCGCTACATGATGAAATAATTTATAACCCCCAGACACAAAATATATAATATGACTGACAGGTATACCATTTCTAATGTCCAAGGAAGAAAGTTTTTAAAAAAAATTTGTCCTCAGAAATGGCATCCATTTAAAACTGACCAACAGTAGAGCACAATCCTTGTTTCTTCAAATGTTTCTTATTTACTGTTCTAATTAAGCCAGTTATTTTAACCGCTCCCTCTCCGCCCACAGCCTATAAATGGCGGACGGGAAGCAGCGACAATGTGGGTTACTGTACCTGTACGTCAGATCGCATTGTTGGCTGCTGCGACCAGTGTCCTGATCATCGCCATACACCAGACCAGTGTCCTGATCACTGCTAAGCCCCATACCAGCATCCTGATCACCGCCATACACCAGACCATGTCCAGTGTCCTGATCACCGCCATACTCCATACCAGCATCCTGATCACCGCCATATCCCATACCAGCACCCTGATCACTGCCATTTCCCATACCAGCACCCTGATCACTGCCATTTCCCATACCAGCACCCTGATCACTGCCATTTCCCATACCAGCACCCTGATCACTGCCATTTCCCATACCAGCGCCCTGATCACTGCCATTTCCCATACCAAGCAATATGGTAGTGTGACAAGAACACCCCTACCTGAAAAAAGAAGGTTACTAAATGATCCACGCGGAGTAATATGAATTCAAAAGAATTTCAAACAATACTTTATTTGATCACATAGATCATAAGGAGGTTAAACATGAGCACGGTGTACATGTGAAAAAGATAAAATCATGTTAAAAAGCACTTGGCGTCTTCAATTTAGGGTCATCTTAGCAAATAGAGTACCATATAAGGCAAAGTTGTGTAATGGTAAGATAGTTATCCTGGGTTTCCATGGGTTTCCAGCTTCTATTAAAGTGAACCATGTATTCAACAGATGTGTTCCCAGTATATCTCAGGGACCTCCTGGTATGTAAAAAGCTGGAACACAAAAATACATAGTATGTGTATAGAAATATGAAAACCAAAACACATCCAAAGTTCACCAGGCCTCCCTCTACAGTAGTCAATGGATACTACTATTACCTTCTCAATAATCAATTATCCATTGACTACTGTAGAGGGAGGCCTGGTGAACTTTGGATGTGTTTTGGTTTTCATATTTCTATACACATACTATGTATTTTTGTGTTCCAGCTTTTTTACATACCAGGAGGTCCCTGAGATATACTGGGAACACATCTGTTGAATACATGGTTCACTTTAATAGAAGCTGAAAACCCATGGAAATCCAGGATAACTATCTTACCATTACACAACTTTGCGTTATATGGTACTCTATTTGCTAAGATGACCCTAAATTGAAGACGCCAAGTGCTTTTTTAACATGATTTTATCTTTTTCACATGTACACCGTGCTCATGTTTAACCTCCTTATGATCTATGTGATCAAATAAAGTATTGTTTGAAATTCTTTTGAATTCATATTACTCCGCGTGGATCATTAAGTAACCTTCTTTTTTCAGGTAGGGGTGTTCTTGTCACACTACCATATTGCTTAGTATGTACCTTTTGGGTTTATGTATCCACACTTATATAAGTGAGTCGGAGATATGCCAATGACACCAGGTATTCGTGTCATTTTGGGTGGCTTGTTTTTGCTTTATTGTTGTGACACATTTCCCATACCAGCATCCTGATCAACGCCATACCCCATACCAGCGTCCTGATCACCGCCATACCCCATACCGCCCTGATCACTGCCATTTCCCATACCAGCATCCTGATCACCGCCATACCCCATACCAGCATCCTGATCACCGCCATACCCCATACCAGCATCCTGATCACCACCATACCCCATACCAGCATTCTGATCACCACCATACACTAAACTAGTGTCCTGATCACCACCATATCCCATACCAGGGCCATGATCACTGCCATACCCCATACCAACACCATGATCATTGCCATATGTCATACCACCGTCCTCACCACCGCCATACCCCATAGCAGCGTCCTGATCACTGCCATACCCCATACCAGCTTCCTGATCACCCCATATGTCATACCTGTAAATGTGTGTCAGTTCAGTAGGGTTGAGGTCAGGGCTCTGTGCAGGTCATTCGAGTTCCTCCACACCAAACTGGCTCCTCCATGTCTTATGGAGCTGGCTTTGTACACAGGGGCACAGTCATACTGTAACAGTAAAAAAATGGTCTTCACCAAACTGTTACCACAAGCTTGGAAGAGAATTGTCTACACTGTCTTTGTATGATGTAGTATTATTCACTGGAGACATCCGAACTCCGTCATTGGGAGGAGGGCTCACAAACATTTGGCTAAATAATAGGTGTCATGGTCAGCTGTCCATTGTCAAAAAGGTTAAGTACATGGCCTTATCTCATATTATAGTCTGTGGTCCACTACCTAGGGTCACAGTTTTGAACATATTTTTGCATGTTGGTGAACATGCTAATAAGCACTCAGCACTATCTTTGGTACCAAAAGCCCATTAAAGTGCAGCACAACTGATGAGAGTTGATGAGTGATCGTCAGCTCCTCTGACCTGAGTTCTGCTATTCTGTGTTTGACCCGGCTGGCCTCCTGGCTCTGCTGTATCAAGATCCCCTGTTGCTAACCTTGGTTGGTGCCTAGCAATGTGTTCTGCCTGCTGTCTTAGTACCTCTTCTCCCCATCTGTTATCGACCTTGACCTGGATGGTGACCTTGACCCTGCTTCTGAATCGGTATCTATGCAGCCTGCCTGTTATCGACCTTGGCCTAAACGTTGACCTTGCTCCTGCTTCTGAATTGGTATCTCTCCTGTGCAGACCTGGTACGAGCATCTCCAGCAGCAAAGAAGCCTCCAGACTGTCTTCTGATCTTCTATTACATCTTGACCCGTTCCACTTACCATCCAGCTGCACCCTACCTACACCTCCAGGGGCCATTGGGAAGAAGGTGTAAGGGAAGCCCTCTTATCAGCTCAACTCTACCAGGTACGTATACAAATGTTTGGTCTTCTAGAGCAGTGTTTTTCAACCTTTTTTGTGCAAAGGCACACTTTTTTCATGAAAAAAATCACGAGGCACACCACCATTAGAAAATGTTAAAAAAATTTACCTCTGTGCCTATATTGACTATATATAAAGTAATTCTCTTGAATAGGAATCAAACACAAAGAAATTATTTTATAATTACTTTATTATGAAATAATAAAGTATTTTATAATTGGACCC